CTGAGGTTGTTGTGACCTTTTGTCTGAGGGAGCAAGTGACACTCAGGGGCTGCCACTTCTGGGCTCTGAGTACCCTTCCTCCCATCTCTGTGCTCCCAGAATGTCTCCAGGCCTTCCTGGACGGGCTTGGCTCCCAGTGTACCTCCACCCCAGCTCCACAACTGGTTCTGCCAGCCTCCTCCACCTGGCCCCCAGTGCCCTTGAGAAAAGTTCCTCTGCGTCAACGGGGTCCCAGTGGCAAGCATGTGTGTTTGTGGAGGGCTGTTTCCTGCTCGGGCGCATGCCTGACGGACAGGCCAAAGGCAGATCGAGGATGCGGGAAGAGGGCCTGGGCGTTGAAAGACAGAGTGAGAGCAGGTAGAGGTAAGTCTACCCTCTGATGGGATAAGAGGGGCTGACCTCCTGGTGAAGAGAAATCAGGCTGGCCTGGACAGAGCCTGAGAGCCACCGGGTGCCCAGGCCCTCCCTGAACAGGTCCCTGCTCTGTTCACAGGCTGTGGGTGCGGGGCAGCTGGGTTGACTCAGAAACACCCAGCCCTACCCCAGCCCCCAGAGCCTTCCCTTAGGGGGCCTTGCTCAGCTTCCAGAAGGAAAGGAGCTAGAGACCTAGGAGGGCCAAGGCAGAGGGGAAGGAATGGGTATGTTTTCTAGAGCGTGGAGGGGTACAGGAAGCTCTCCGCACCGGAGACTGGCTGAGCTCACCCACCTGTGGCCTTGCATCAGCTGCAGAGCTGGCTGCCAGGCCCTGGGAATTAGGCAGGAGGCTCCCTGGAGCCTCCTGGCCTTGCTTCTGGCTCTCAGGGAGAGGATGGGCAGGAGGAGCAAGCAGGCCTGGGGCTCCTCGGGCTCTCCATTTCCAGGCCGGCCAGCTGCCCCAGCTCCCAGCGTCCCGGGCAGCAGATGGCCTGTGTGCTCAAGGACAGGCACAGCTGAGGGCCTTGGGAGGTCACCTGGCCTGGCCAAGGTCTCCTTCCTGGAAGCCTTCTTAAAGTTGGTGGTGTCTCCCAAATAGATTCGGGGACTCTGGAGCTGGTTCCTCTCTGGCCCCTGACATCACCACTTTAAAAATGGCCCTCTACCGGGCGCCTGGGTGGCTCAGATGGTTAAGTGTCTGCTTTCGGCTCAGGTCATGATCCCAGGGTCCTGGGATCGAGTCCCGCATCGGGCTCCCTGCTGAGCGGGGAGCCTGCTTCTCCCTCTGCCTCTGCCTCTCTCTCTCTCTCTCTCCCTGTCTCTCATGAATAAATAAATAAAAATATAAAAAATAAAAAAATAAAAATGGCCCTCTACCAACAGCAGCAGGTGTACAGATATGGGCAGGACGTGTATCACGGAGACTTTCAGTGTGGCCTTTATCTCACACTTATTATTCACCTCAGGGTTGAATGCCACAGGCGGTTCGTGGAGGGCTTCCTGTTCTGTTGTTCTCCCCAGTGTTTGGGATTCATAGCATCCATGAGAACTGCCTGGCACCTCCTCTGTCCCTGGATCCTTTTGGGGTACACAAGTGCATGTGTGTCGGGGAGAGGAGTCTGTTCGAAATGTAAGTGAATGCCAGCTCCCTTTCACATCCCCTCTTCCTGGAGCTTCTCAAAGGGGTGTGTGGAGTTTCCGGGCCCTCTGGAGGGCACCCATCAGCCCTCCTCACTCTCCAACCAGCCCTCTCTCTTGCCAGCCTCCTCCTGCTCCAAGCCCGTCGGGGCCGCCGTCTGTGATGTCTGGGAGCTGAGCTGAGGGCGCCAGGCAAAGGAAAGGAGAGCTGGAGGGCCAGAGCAGAGAGGGCAGGCTGGGGGGGAAGGGGGAGATGGGGGGCGGACAGGGACACAAGGGCTCATGGGAGCCCAGGCCATCCCTAACCTAGTGCTTCTGGCCTCTCCTGGACTCAGTTTCCAAGTGTCCCTCACTTCCTCTCCATCTCCAGGTCTTACCCCAGCCGAGGTGGTGCTAGAGAAAAAATGCACACACCCCCTCCCAATCATAGACTCCTCTCCCTTCCTTGGGCTTTCATTTCCTCATTGGTAACATGGGGAGACAGGACAAGATGGCTCAGGTGCTGTAGGAGTCCATGATAGCATTCTTTTGCTAGAACTTTCTCTTTCAATGTTCTCCCCCCATGCAGACCCTGCCTTGGTGTTTGTTCTTGGGTTTTTGCTCCTGGTCTCTGACCCTCCGCCCTACCTTCCAGGCTTTTATGGAGGCTGGGCTGATCCACTCATTATGTCAGGATAAACATGAGGCTACTCCAAACCTACATTTGCCTTTTATAAGCTGTATCTCCTGGGTTTTCAATTAATCCAAAGTGCACTGCAAAGGGGGAGCTTCTCTGAAAGGAGCACAGAAGACCAGCTCAGCTGAGAGGGCAAACCTTGTGGGGCTGAGCAGGAAGGGCTGGAGGGGATGGGGGGAGAAGTAGAGAGCACCGGGAGAGGCAGGCCAGGCTATGAGACACGGTCCCAGGCAGCATGCAATGAACCCCAGGCCCCGAAGATCTTGGGATATCGAGGTTGGAAAGGCCCTTGGAGGTTACCTAAGCCGAGCCCCCTGCCCCTCCTATTCCATTTTAAAGATAAGGCCCAGCAAAATAAAGTGACCTAAAAGAAAGTATAATTTGATACCAAAAAAGGAGCAAGAACTTGATTTCCCTTTAAAAGATGGTCCTTTAAATGGAATAATTTTGCTTCAGGAAGAGCTTACTCTTCGGGTTGTGTTTTTCTCCTTTTTTATCACAAACTGGTGATGTCATCATCACGGTCCAGGGGTGTTCTGAGGACCAGATTTGGAAACCACTGTCCTTAAGTCCTTCTGTTCCCAACACCCCTCTCTCTCCTCAGCCAGATTTGCAAAGTAAACAAAGGGGACATCTGGGTCAATGGAGATCAAAAACACTTTTAAAACAACCTCAGTATCCCCATAAATGGTCACAGCAGCCATAAAGGAAGCAGGAACCTGTCGCTCAGAGTAGGGCACAGGCAGAAACTCTGCCTCGGGGCTCTGGGCCAGGGCTAGGACTTCCATGCCAAGCAGACTGCAGTAGGTAGGTAGGTAGTTAGATAGGTAGGTAGTAGGTAAGTACTGGCTGGCTCCTCTCATCCTTGGCACATGAGGAGGATTCTGGGAGTATTGAATCTGGAAAGAGAGTGTAGCATGTTCCCCTATCCTGGTGGAGAGGGCTGTTTTTTACGTCCTCTGATTTGCGAGTCCTTTGAGATTGGGAGCGAAGGTGGAGAGGAATCCTCCAGGAGGTGCGGAGGGGGAAGAGGAGGCTAGTTTGGTGCTTGGCACATAATATGCACTCCATAAACACTTGTGAGTGATGTGTGGGGTGTGTGGTATAGTTTATGGCAGATCTAGAGCCAGACAGACAAGTCTAAACTCTGCTTCTACCACTAACGGCTCTGAGCTTCGGAAGAATCCGCGACGCCCCCAAACTTCAAGCACTCCAGTGCCTGTGGCAGGCAGGGGTCTTCTTGACAAATATTGGAAGCCATACTCTCACTAGCTTAAACCAAAAAGGAAATTTCTAGCTCACATAGCTGGGAGGGGCACTACAGCAAAAGCTGCGACCTTGGGGCAGGACCCAGGGTCTCCAAGATTCTTGCTCCTTGTCTTTGCCTGACTTTTGCAGATAGGCTCTGTCCCTATGGCAGAGAAGGTGGCCATTTGTAGCCCAAATTCAGGCTTGGAGAGATGGCTTCTCTCTCTCTCTCTCAACATCAATATATCCATCTCAGAGAAGGCTTTGATTGGGCCTGTTTGGGCCCTAGTCAGACCTGGGTCACATACCTCGTCCTATGGTAAGGGGGGGTGGATGACGTCACAGGAGGAGGGGGATGGGAAAGCCAGGTGGGCAGACAAAACAATAATACAGTACCTACAATACCTAAAGGTTGGTCGAGTGCACGCGCGTGTGTGCGTGCGTGCATGTGTGTGTGTGGAGGGGGGGTGTTGGGGAAAACCGAGTCAGAAAGAGCCCCTGAAAAGGGAGCATGCAGGTAGGACCAGAACCAAGCTTGGTCTATTCACAGGATTATCATGATAGGATTACCTATCATTTGGCCCCACTATGTGTCAGGCTCCACATTAGGCTAAGTATATATTCCATAAATCATTTCTCATTCTCACAGTAACTCTAAGAAATAGGTATTATTAGCCCCATTTTAAAAATAGAGACGGTTGCTGGAGGGGAGGTGGGTGGGGGGATGGGGTAACTGGGTGACAGGCATTAAGGAGGACACTTGATGTAATGAGCACTGGGTGTTCTATGCAACTGATGAATCACTAAATTCTACCCCTGAAACTAATAATACGCTATGTGTTGACTAAATTGAATTTAAATAAAGAATTAAAAAAAAAGTAAAGAGCAGACTTTTAGGACACACAGGCAGTGAGTGAGCCAGATTCAAACGTGGGTCCTTCAGACTCCAGAGCCCATGTTTTTGCCCAGGGTTGAGCCACTGCTTTAGAAGCCAAAGCTGAAAGCTTGCTGGACAGTTGCAGAGAGCACACTGTGAGCCCCAGCAGGTGTGGTCTTGCCAGGGACTTTCAGGAACTTGCAACTTCCCGGCTACTTACTTCCTGCGCTCCAAGTCCTACAGGCCCTTCCCGGCAAATGGAGACAGGCAAAGCACTCATGGTAATACAGGGACCTCTTCACCAAATGGCATTTCCCCCAGACTTGATCCCCCAATTGGTGACCCTGCCTGGAATTGTCTAGAGTCTGGCTTGTTTAGGTGAGAGGAAATGGGGCTGGGGTGTTTGGTGGGACACTGGCATGGCAAAAAAAAATCAAAGGATGTCATCTCTCACCTAAATCACAGAATTATCTGCAGCCCCTAATGGTTCCCTCTGTCCCTGTGCCGCCTCTCCAAGCCATTCAGCTCGTCCCAGCTAAAGAGACCCTCCTAAAATACTATCCCTCCTGCACCCTCCCCTGCTCCAAACCACAGTGGCTCCCCTTTGCCCACACTCATTATGGAGGCTTCCCAGGCTTCTCAGGACCTAGCCCTCCCTCCCACCTTCTCCAGCTTTCTCTTTTACCACTGCCCCTCGCACTTGGGAATGCAAAAGACTTGGAACAATAGGATAGCAAGGAACCATATGTGGCTATTTAAATTTAAATTAATTAAAATTAATTCAATTATAGTTAAAAATTCAATTCCTCCGTCACACTAGTCACATCTCAAATGCTCAATAACCTCTTGTGCTCGTGGCTACTGTACTGGACAATGCAGATATAGAACGTTCCTATCATCACAGAAAGTTCTCTTGAGCTTTTCTCTTACAAAGGAAGCTCTGATCAAGGAATGTTAACAGCTTTAGAGGAATCCAGGGTAGATCTGACCTATTCAGTGACTTTTTTTCTTTCTTTATTTTTTTTATTCAGTGACTCTTTCAACAAATATTTGGCGCCTACTGTATTCCAGGTCCTGAATACACAATAGTGGGCAGTGGGAGCTTGGTCCTTTTCTAGGAGTGAAAAGGCAATTGCTAGAAGGTGTCCTAAGTGCCTGAGCCCAGGTTTGGGGATCTGGGAAGGCTTCCTGGAACAGAGGACATCTAAGCGCGACCTGTAAGCTGAGGAGGTACTAGCTAAACTGAGTGGCTCTCTAGACCAAGCTCTTTTTGGCCCTCAGTGGCCCTTATCACAGGCTGTTCCCACTGCCTAGACTGCTCCTCCTCTCTTTTTCCCCAGGGAGAGAAGGACGGAGCCTAGTTCCTTAAAGTTAGTTCTCCAGCTGGGACCAAGCAGAGAGTGTTAGGCCACCAACCCAAGAGCTCTGTGCTGTGGCCTCTGCTCTCCCCACCCCTCCCCCGAGGCTAGCTGGCTTTGGGGCTAGGCAAATTCAGGGCTAGGAAAAGCGGGCCCTGGGGTAGAGGGCTCCTCGAGAAGTGAAAGCTGAAAATCTGGTGGGAGATGGGAGAGTCTGATTGTACCCTGAGGCCAACACAAGGTTGGGCTCTCCACCTTCTCCAGTCCCTAAGTTCCCGCCTGGGTCAGGCTGGGGAAAGTGTAGAGGAGACGGGCCACTCCCACGTAGGGCCTAGAGGGAGCCAGGACCGGCTCTAGAGCCCAGGGAGGCTGGCCTGGGGTCTCCTATCCGCCTGCTTCTGCGAGAGCCCCCGGCTGCTAATCCCCTCCAGATCACACAGCTGCGCCCACCCTCACCTGGCCCTGTGCCACCGGCCCCATGCTGCTCCTCTTCCCGGTGGCCTGGCCGGAAAGTACAGTGGGACCTGAAAGTGACAGTCATTGACCCGAATTCCCGTGCGTGCTTATCTGGGAGACAGGCCCATCAGGCCCTGCACTGTCCTCACCGCTTTCCAGAGCACGCCTCACTTAAGCCTCCTCCCCTAGGATAATTGCGTAGGGGCCTCTATTACAGAAGTTAAGGAGAGGGGGCTCCGCCAGAGGCGGCCGCGCGGGGGCCGCCCGCCAACGCCCCACCGCCCAGCCTGGCCCCGCATCGCACTTGCATCGCACGGTGCCCGCGGGCCCCTCGCCCCTCTCCCCGCGCTCCCGCCCCGGCCTCCGCCCCGGCCGATCCCCAGCCGCCCGCCGGCCAGCGCCCGGGGTCCGGCGGGAGGCGGGGCCGGGGGCCCGGCGGGGGGCAGGGGGTCCGGCCCCTCCGTGCCAGCCTGAGCGCCAGGCGGCCGCAGAACCGCCCTTTGTTTGGCGGCGCTCGCGGCTTCTGCGCAGTCACGGTCACATGGCGCTTCCGGCACGGGGTGTTCCGGGCGCTGCGCCAGGGCTCGGGGGCGCCCCCGCCCCCGCGCGCCCGCCCGCCGGTCTCGGACCCCCCAGGCTCCCCGAGGCGCGGCTGGACCTTCCCCGCCGCGCCGCGCGGGCACCTCCGCTCCCGGGCCGCTTGTCTTCTCTGAGCTCCACCCTTGGGCCTTCCATAGCTTTTGATCTTAGGACTGGCGCGTCCAATACCCCGTTGCTTCCTGGGGTCCGCCTGTCCCGCCTACTCGAGACAACACCAAGTGAGCAAAATCAGGCTCACCCCTCCCTGGGGCAGCACTATACGGCAAGTAGGTGGGGGACAAGTAATTAAGTCGGTTCCTACCATTTTGTGGGGCGGCAGAGACAGGACCAAGCCTTTCCCACCCTTCCCCCACTCTGACTCCCGCAAACAAAGTCAAACAAAAACCAGCCACCCCAGTCTGGCCTCCACCGAAAGTCTGAGGGCAAAAGACCCACTCAGGGACAGAAATGGGGCTGGCCCTTCCTGCCCTGGCCTGGCCACCACTGCTCCATCACTCCCAGACCCAGTCGGTACCCTGGGACACTTAAGGACCTTGGAGTATAATGGAGGCCACCTCTGCCTCGCTCAGCAGATTCAAGAATTAAGTCAACAAATATTTATTGAAAGCGGACTATGTACAGTGCGACCAAAGCTGCCAGCCCTGTGCTAAGCCCCCAAGAGAATGTGAAAGGATTCTCTTTTTGTCCAAGCAGTGCCCACCCCCCGCGGGCCTCCGGAGGCTCAGCTTCCCTGAGGAGGCCTTTATCCAGAACAGCTTGGGAGGCCCTAGTAAACAGGGCAGACACCGCCATGCCCGGGGCCTGGGAATGGGGGCCCTGCCTGAACCCTGCTTCCCTGCCTTGGCGATGCAGCAGGGAGGGGCGGTGCTGAGCTCCCGGTGAACATGGGGTGGGGTCTCAGGGTTCTTTCTGCTTCTGGGCAACCTTTCCCCGAAGCCTCTCCTCCAGGCCTGCAGGGACTGGGGCAAGGGAAGAGGAGGGCCTGGAGGGGTGGAGACCTGGGAGAGGTGAGAGGGAGACAGCCCAAGGTGGCCAGGGCAGAGAGCAAACTACGGGCCCGAGGTGGGTGCGTGCGGTGCGCTGGGGCGTCAGGACTTGGTGGGGAAGAGCAGGCAGGTGAGCTGACGGCGGTGGCTGTGTCTGTCGACAAGGGGCAGGGGCTGCTGTGTGTAGTGCTGGACCATGGCCTCCACGGAGGGGAACAGCTAGACGGGACGAGGGACAGCAGTGAGTCCCCCGAGCCTCATGCTGGGAGAAACTTCCTGAAGAAACTCTGGCATTTTTCTAAATCCTTTCCGTCAGATTTGCCCCATGAACTTCCATGGCCACTTTGTGCCCCATTCCAGGGCTCGCGCAACTTTCTCACAACTGCACCCACGCGCGTGCTGTTAGCCAGGCCAGGTAGAAATAACTCTGGGGCCCTGCGTCTGCCTGGGTCCCCCAGGATGGGGACCTCAGCAAGTGCCGGGCACAAAGTCGAGTTCTTGGACCGGACAGGAGTCTGGACTGCCTGGGCCCTGCTCTCCTCCTAGCTGGGGTCAAGGCAGGCACAAATCCCCAACACCCCGGGTCCTGGGCAGACTGAGCCCTACAGGAGGGGTGTCTCCCCAAGAGGAAGGCAGACCTCTGAGAAGGAATTCAAGTCACTGGCCTCTGTAATGTCTACCCAGTCCAGAAAAACTGCAAAATGTGGGTTTTCCCCTGGACAAATGCACCCGGCTGGGCCCAGCACATGGCTCTGCTCTGCCCTCTTGCCTGCTAGTCCCCGTCCTCCTCCAGCACCTACCTCCTCGTGGTTCCTGCCCTCCCGGCCCAGGGCATAGTGGCTCCCACCATCCAGCCGCCGGATGGGAATGTTGAAGACCCGGCCATGGAGAAGCACCGCCAGGGTGAGGGGCTGGGAACCATGAGGCTCTGAGCTGGGGCGCACAGTGTAGGCCCCATCCTGCACAGGAGACCCCATCTGTCAACCTGCAGCCCTGGCCCACAGATGGCCAGCAACCCCCACCCCGCCCTCCCATCCCCAGCTGCTCATCCAACCACCGCCCATGAGCAGATGGGTTTCCGCAAAGGCCCAAGGGGGCTGCAGTTGCCCACCTTTTGGAATCGGAGCAGGGCACTCTCAACGGCATGGCGGTCACAGTTTCCTGAGTACCAGGGCTGACCCAGCAGGCTGCCGTCCTGTACATACACATGCAGCCATTCAGGGACGTGCCAGGGCACTGGAGAGGGGCTGGGGGGCAGGGAACCCTGGGCTGCTGTAATTTGTGTTCATATCTGCCTTCCCTGGCTGGAGTCTGCGCCAACAGAACAAAGGTGTGTCCCCGCCCGCTGTCCAGCATGGTGCGGCACACACACGGTCAATGTGTTCTTGCAATGGCAGCCGCCAGCCCGAGAGGGCTCTCTGTCGGCCTCCTCCCAGCCCTCTCCCAGCCCCTCCTCACCTCAGCCGCTGAGGTGCTCCAGGTGGGTGCTCTAGAGGAAAGAGAGGATCTCCTTCCTGCTGGTAGAAGCAGATTACAGAGTTGAGGCGGGGAGGGGATTAGGCAAAGAAAGCTTTGGGCCCAGCTGCAGAGGTGCGGGAGGTTAGAGGGCTGTGCACAGAGGCCTGAAGCCCAAAGCAGGACACTCAGTGCTTCACCTCTCCTCTCCCAGGTCTCGGGCTCTGGTAGAACCTATCAGCTAGGCCATGTGTGACCTCCAAATGAGGGGTGATCTTGAGGTACAAGCTGGGAGTTTCCCGCTTTGGTGAAGACCCTAGAAATTGCCCAGTGGGATCCCCTCAGGCCTGCTCTCAGCTGAAGTCAGAGCTGCAAGGACTCCCACAGCAAAGTGGGGCATGAGGGGCAGGCAGGGGGGTGGGGAGCAGAGTTTGTGGCCTGCAGGACTGTGGCTGGGGTGGGCTGGCAGGACTGCCTGAGGTTCATGCAGAAGATGCCTGTACTCACCTTTAGGGGTGGCATTCGCTGCTCCCTGGGTCACAGAAAGGCTGGTCAGAAGAGACTTGGGCCCATAGCCCCATCCCCCGGGCAATGAAGTCTCCCCCTGAGCATCCCCCCACCCCAGGTCACTTCTCCCCTGGCTACTAGCCTCTTACATTCCGAGCTTCCTGGGGGGTTACTGTGGGCCTGTGGGGGCAAGTTGGGGAAGAGAGCTCAGGTTTTACCTCCTTTAAGAGAAAGAGCCCAGTGCATCCAGAGATCGCAGGGTCAGAGCTGGGGAAGCCTGAATTGGCCATCTTGTGCACACACACACACACCCCTGGGGGGCACTCACCTGGGCACCAATGATACCCTTGGCAGAGAGATTGGGGGCGTCAGGACTTGGGAGCTCAGAATCTGAGTCAAGGCCAGGACTGAAAGAGGGAGGGCAGGCTGGGCTGGGCTGGGCACCAGGCAGGAGATCCACGCTGACCAGGGAGGGGTGAGATGCCCGCAGGCCCTGCTGCTTCTCAGCAGCCTGGGCTCTCTGGGAGTCCTTCCAACCAGAGGGAGAGCTGTCCTGCCATAAGAGCTGGGAAGCCCCATGCAGCCCTTGCTTAAGTCCCCCCTACTAGGCAGAGTGGGGGGCAACCTGGACTAAAGGCTGAAGCATGGGTGTCCCTGTGGCTGTCTGAAGGCAAATGTGTATTGGTGGAATGGTGAGGGAAGACAAGGGAAGAAGAGCCAGAATGTGTCCTGTTTTGAACAGCTGAGGGCCCCAGGGCAGGAGGGAGCTGGGACAGAGGGAGATGTTCACCTGGACTGGGCTCACACTCCAGGTAGAGGTTCTCTTCAGATTTCTTTGGAAGGCCTGGCACCTAAGGGTTTGACCAGCAAGTGGGAGAGAGGGCGAATCCATCATTTGGGGGGGGGGGGGGGCTATGGGCACCTTTTTCCCCGCCTCACAAGGTGGACCTCTTTCTGAGAGCTAGCTGGCATGATTCAAGTTGCTCCTTTGCCTGGGGAGGAGCATGCATGAGTGCCTTCCCCTTCAGAGCTGCCTGTAGGCCCCAGCTCTCCTAGAATGTGGCATCCAGGAGGAGGTCTGGGCCAGACCTTCCCCAGTAGCGCTGGACGGCACAGATAGCCGGCTTACACCCTGTCAGGGGCCCATGGTGAACAGGGAGCCACTCTGCTCTGAACCTTTTTCCTTGGTTTCAGAGATATTTCCTGACCCTCCCAGGCCTGCTACCCTAACTCTGCCAACTTCCTAGCCAGAACCCTAGAGGGTGAGTGGAGGGGTGGGGGGGACAGAGGGGCCACTCACCACTCTGGCCGGTGTAGCCAGCTCTGGAAGGAAAAGGAGAAACCACCAGGCAGAAGCGCAGGGAGAAAGGAATTCAGTAAGACGTAGGCTGGAGGAGTGGAGTGTCCTCTGATCCTCTCTGAGGGCATCCTCCGAGCCAGCGTTAAGCCCCAGGAGAAAGCCACCCTGAGCTCTGATTGCCCCACTTCACACCCCCGGGGGTGTTGCCCGGCTTGACCTCCCAAACCATTTGCAAGGCTTGCTCCAAATGACTTCAGGCTGTTCCAAAAGTCAAAACTACCCCCAAGCTCATGAAGGCTTACTAACCACCGAGCACAGTAAACACGAACGTGCCTCCGATTAGCTGTTTGACCCGAGGCAGGAGACTGCCCCTCTTGGGCCCTTTCCAGACAAAAACGCACTGACTGAGGTCCCTCACTATCCCGACATCCCAGGGTTCTGGGTTCACAGGCCTCAGGGACTTAGCACAGGCAGAGGCTCTGGACAGTGATAGCAGTAACGACAAGGCTGGAATCAGACTGGTGGCCAAAGGGCCCCTTTGATGGGGGTTGACACTCAGATGTGTTTCAATAGTGAAGGCTGCCCTTCAGAACTCCTCATCCTGGAGTGTCCCTTGCCTGCCCCGGAGACCACAGCAGATGCACAACAGGGCCTGGGAGTCAGGGACTCTGCTGCTCTGTGATCTCAGGCAAAGCATTTCCGGGCTCCAGCCCTCAGTCTCCTCCTGAACTGTCTGCCCTAGCGGGGGTGGGGAATCAGCAGGTAAAAAAAACGAGGACAACCCCCCCCCCGGCGGGGGGGAGTGCAGTGACCAGGCAAAGCCTGAAACCAAGTAGCCTGAGCTCAGGTCTACCCTGAGGGGGCCAGGATTCCCCACCTCGGGGTGGGCACTGAGCGGGCCTCGGAAAGAGACAGGACATCCTCGTTACCTTGCTTCCCCACGGGGAAGGGCTGTCCCTGCTTCCTAGCCTCCCGCAGGCTCAGGACCGCCTTCAGCTGTGGGCACAAGGGGCGGGAGGGAGAATAGGGTTAGGGGTGGGGGGGAGGGGAACTGAGGCAGGGGAAGGGCAAGCGGGGTGGGGTGCGGCGGGGTTATGGATGTCGGAGCAGCCTCGAAACCACCGCAGCACAAGAACTCATGTGCAGAGGTGACTCTTGGCCTCTGTCCTGTGGCTCTTCCTTTGTTGTGAGTCTCTCCCTGTTTTTCTTTTTATTCCAGTAAAATCTATGATGAAAGTGGTAACGTCCGAGGCCGTAAGCTTCCCTCAGCACAGCGGGCTCTCGAGCTGGCAGCGACGGTGGCAGAGTGGGGGATTTCTTCACTCTCTAGGCAGGGAGGGGTCCTCAGGCCCCAGGGTGCAGGGACGGGTAGCCGAGCCTGCCCGGCCTTCCCAGCTCCAGCTCCAGAGGAAGGGTGAGTCCTGGGGGATGCTGACAGGCAGGGCTGGGGGAGGGCCGGGTCGGGCAGGTGGGAGCAGCAAGGGCTAACTGGGCTCCGCTTCTGACACATCTTATTTTTCAGGGGCCTCTTGAATGCAAATATGGGGGAATCTTGCAAATGAGATGCCTCTTAGATTTACTCCCTGGGAAATGGTAGCCGGGTAGGGTGGGTGGGGAAGGAGGGACTGGGGGGGGGGGTGCTGTTCACCGTTGTGGCCTGGGGCTGCAGTGGTGGTGACTTGGAAGGGTCCAGGGGGCCAGGGTGATCTGGAAAAGGCCCCGGGCATCGTGGGTCGGTGGGTTCCTCCCATGTCGGTTCCCATTTTCCTCCCGCCCCCCACCTAGCCTCTATTTCCTCCATCCCCCTCTCCCCCTCACTGGCTTCCCCCAGCCCCGTCTCCATGGCAACTGGAGGCGGCCAGCTTTCCTGCCCCCACCTGGCCTAGCGGAGGAGCCCTGGGGGTGGGATGCCAGCAGCAGCTGGGGCTCTCCTGGCATCCCTACCCTTGCTCTGAGAAGTGAGGGATCTCAGAGGAGGCCCCAGGGACCCTGTGGGGCCTCCTGCTTTCCCACGGTTGCCTTGGTTACAGTGCCCCTCCAGGCTCCTCTCCCTTTCTCACTCTTCCTCCTGCCTTTCTCCCTCCTCCCTCCGCCTTTCCTTCATCCTTCTCTCTCTCTGCCCAGCCCAGAAGCTTCCACAGCTGCCAGCTGAGGCCTCCCCTTGCCACCCCAGCACAGACAAAGGGAGAAGAGGCAAGGCCTGCGCCCTCTTTCCTCGTGGGGACCCTCTGTCCTGCCTGACCACCCAACTCCCTGCCTCAGCTCCCCAGCCCTTACCTAAGTACAAAGAGTCCTCTTCCTCGGTGTCAGGAAGGTGGGCTGGGGCAAGACCGAAGGGCAGAGCCTCACAGGGTGGCAGCTCATATTTATCTTCCTCATCTTCCTCCTCCTCCTGGGCTTTCCAGAAGGGACAGAAGAGGGGCAGGACCAGTGGTAGCCACTGTGGCCCACCTCCCTCCACCCCAGGCTCAGCAGCTGCACTTACCTCGAGTCTCCAGGTCCCCGGGGCGGGCCGAGGAGATGGGCTGGGGGCATCTTTGTTCCAGGCTGGGGAATCTGGACAGGGGACTGATGAGACTGGCCTCACCTTCCAGCGCCCCCCCACCCCACAATGACTTACTCTCCTTCCCTGCTATAATAAACCATCTGCTTTTTTACAGTGGGCCTCGCTGCTTCATTCGACTCGGAGGAGCCACTCATGATGAGCCTTTCCAACACGGCAGTAGGGCCAGTGAGGTCGGCATTTTGAAAATAAGGGGGCCACTGTCACTTACCTACACATCTGGGGGGTGGAGGGGGTGGCCCCGACCTGCAACCAGACTCTAGTCAACTCTGCCCAAGGGGCCAGACACTGCACCGCTCCCAGGACATTCACAGCAGCGACTATGTGAGTGGTGCCCCTTGGAGTTATGTGCCAATAGCCTGGGACCAGGGCAGCAGGAAGAACAGTCTGGGGGCAGAGCTAGTGCCTGGTGGGGACACAGCTGGGTGAGCTGGTGCCCCAGTGAAGCCGGTAGTGAGGGAGCCCTAGTGCTCACAGTGGGGGGGAGGTAGGAGGATGGTCTCCCTGGGCAAGTAGGGCTGTGCGCAGGAAAAGGGGCAGTGAGGTAGAGACAAGAGAGGAGGCAGAGGAAAGAGAGGAGCCAGAGTACTCACTCGCGCTTGCTTCCCCTGAGCTTGTCCTGGAAAGAATCGGGGGCAGGGGACATAAGGGGGTAGTCAGTGCTCCCCGCATGCCTCTCTCCGGGAAGCATCCTGGGCCCCCAGGGGTGATCTGTGCACCTGGGGCTGCCCCAGAACCAACTCTCACCATGGCCGGGCTGAAGGAGCTCTGATTCCTGGGAGCCTAGGCTCTACCACAGATGGCCTGGGGACAGAGGCCCTATTATTCTCATCATTTGCATCTCGCAGGCACCAGGAAGGTGGGTCTGCTGTGGCCTCTAACCTTGGACCAAGTTGCCCCATGAGGCTCCCATAAGCTCCCCCACGTTGCCTCCCACAGCTGCGGTCCCCGGTCTCCAACCCCTCTGCCCCACTGGAGGAAGAGCTCTCCCCTCTGCTCCAGGGCCTCAGGGCCACAGGGCCACAGGGCTGGACCGGTGCTCAGAGGCTTCCCGCAGTTCTCTGATCGGTGCCCCCTCATCCCGGAGGCTCCGGCTCGCCCCGCGATCAGCCAGACTGTCCTTTCCCAACTCACAGAACATAGGACATGAAGGGGCAGGTCCAGTTGAAAATGGGAGACTGTCCTTGCACTTTTCTTAAACACTTTATGCTTGCTGTCCTTTCCTGGTGAATGGTGACCAATGATCAAAGAAATAGAGGTTAGTGAAAAGCTCAGTAATATGCATGTGTTTTTAGTTTGACAGCTTCCTTTGTGGATGGCTGTATTTATTCATTGAGTAAGTATTTATTGAATATCCTCTCTATGCCAGGCACTGTTCCAGGTGCTGAAGATGTTATAGAAAAACCCAAGGAGGCATGTGTATTTCCTGCTGGATCCTCACAATAGCCTCATGATGCAAATGCTAGTTTTATCCCTGTGTTTCAGATGAGGGAAGTGAGCGTATTAGTCAGAGCAGGCTCATCACGGAATACCAATGATGCGGTGGCTTGAACAACAGAAACGTCTTTTCTCTTCTGGAGGCCAGAAGCCCAAGATCAGTGTGCCATCAGGATTCATTTCTGGGGAGAGATCGCTTCCTGGCTTGCAGACGGTCACCTTCTCGCTGTGTCCTCACATGGCCTAGACTCTGTGCAGGCCTGGAGAGAGATGTCTCTGATCCCTGCTTAGAAAGACACCTGTCTGATGGAATCAGGCCTCCACCTTTGTGACCTCATTTAACCTTAGTGACCTCCCTCAAGAGCCTGTCTTCAAATCCAATCACAGTGGGCAGTAGGGCTTCACCAGATGCGTGGAGGAGGGACAAATGCAGTCCAAATCTCAAGAGGTTTTGAGGAATTAAGTGGCTTTCCCAAGGTCAGACAATCCCACCCAGGGTTTGCCCAACCCGCAGCCTGTGCACTAACCAGTGGGCGCTCGGTATCGCATCTGGGGTTGAGTCCTTACCCTCCTTTCCTATGACAGAATTAGACACAGCAGGAAACATGGCTTCCTGAAGCCTGAAGGAGCCCATGACTTCCAGGTGTTCTGTTACTCGAGTGACTTCTGGAACTTTAATATCTGAGAAGTGTTGGGGGAAGGGCCTGGGGTCTGACTTTGTTTAAAACAGGGACTAAGGAAACACAGGTGAGGATCATGAACGTAAGACCTTTCTAGGGCACTGTAACTTTACTATGTCTGTGATTTTGGTGATGTTCTGGCTGTTGGCAGAAAGAAGTGAAGGCCAGGTGCTTACACCTTTGGAGGCCACGCGGCTGGGACACAAGGGAGAAAGCCCCATGGCTGGAGCTGGCCACAGCCTTCAGAGAGGAAGACCAGATGATTCCTGGGACCTGTGGGTCAATGGGCACTTCAGAAGCTATGAAAAATCACTGGGATGGCTTAACACAGAGCCCATGTGGTAGAATGGGAAACACTGAGAAAACAGAAACAGAGGGGGCGCCTGGGTGGCTCAGTCGTTAAGCATCTGCCTTCGGCTCAGGTCATGATCCCAGGGTCCTGGGATCGAGCCCCGCATCGGGCTCCTCACTCTGCAGGAGGCCTGCTTCTCCCTCTCCCACTCCCCCTGCTTGTGTTCCCTCTCTCTCTATATCTATCTCTGTCAAATGAATAAATAAAAAATCTTTAAAAAAAAGAAAAGAAAACAGAAACAGAGAAACAATCCAGGCCTGGGTCAGGAAGGACAGGAAGCTCCTCCCTGACCTCCCCTCCACATTTGACCTTTGTTCCACATTTGGACTGTAATGCAAGGGGCAAGCTCCCTTACCAAGGGGACCTCCTACGGGACAGGGTCAGCAGGTCCAAGTCAGCAGGAGGCTCTAGACACCACCCCACTGCTCTAGATACCCAAACTGAGTGGGTTTCCAGTCAGTACCCAGCCGCCTGCCACCCGCCCCCCCCATTCTGGGCTTTGCATAGGCAAATTCTAGGACCTGAGTGAGTGAAAGGGCCCCAAGCACAGAGGATGGAATTGTGCCATCTGGGTGGGGGCACTCGCCAGGACAGATCAGGGAGAAGGGGGGGGGGGGCGGAAGGAGGTCTGCCTCATGGCTTTGTCTCACCCTGACCGGCCTTCTGTGGGGTGAGGACTGTGCTTCTTCCTAAGTACACAGGCAGATTTGGACAACCTCTTTCTCCTCTGGTACAGGAGTGCTCTGTGCAGAACCATAGCTCTTCCCTCGGGATGAATGCCTAGAAGTGGACTTGCTGGAAGCTCACATTTTGGTTGCAAGGCTCCATTGTCGGGTAGCCCCTGAGTGCCTGTTTTAATATCCTTGCATGGCCCGCAGTGATGCTCCACCTTTTCTGGGCCTCAGCTGCTGATCTCCAATGAGAACAGACTGTAATTTGCAGGCCCAAGGTAAATCCACCCTAAGAAAACAGACAGCTCTCTGGGGCAGTGCCCCCCCTATTTGCATGATCACAAGCATCGCTGGAGAGCTTGTTAAAAGCCCTTGTTCCCAGACCTTCCCTGAGATCTTTTTTTTTTTTTGACAGAGAGAGAGAGAGTGCGCGTGTGCGTGCGTAAGCAGGGGGAGCGGCAGGCGGAATGTTGCCTGAGATCTTAAGGATTGTCTGCTCCAGGAGGGAATTGGGACTCTATATTATTATTATCTTAAAGATTTATTTATTTGAGAGAGAGCACACACGTGTAAGCAGTAGCGAGGGGCAGAGGGAGAGGGAGAGAAGCGGACTTTGAGCTGAGTGCAGAGCCCAACGCAGGGCTTGATCCCATGACCCTTGAGATCATGACCTGAGCCGAAACCAAGAGTGGGACGCTTAACCAACTGAGCCGCCTAGGTGCCCAGGACTCTATATTATTTTTAACAAACATCCTAGGTTAATTTTATGATCATTTTTGGGAAATGCTGTCCACAGGAAACAGTCTGAGGACATGTGACTTCTAGGACATTTTTAGAATCCCATATGGACTTTTGCTCGTTCAGAACACAGAGGTCCCCAGCAGAGAGAGAACGTGACACAGAGTGCTCTCAAGGGGCCCCTCCGAGTGATGGAGAGGGCACCCCCCAAGGAGATGTCCAATCTCTGAGTTTCGGTTTCCTCTTGTGTAAATGGGGATGTCAGTAGGCAGTCCTCTTGGCGGGGGAGCTTCTGAGGTCAAATGAGGGGACGGCACAAGAAACATACCGTAGCCGCACCATAAAATATCAGCTCTCCCTGAGACAGCGGTGTCGTGCCTCACGAGGTGGTTGCCAGCTGACAGTGGCGAGGTCTAGCTGGGATCCCTGGTGTGGCGAAGCGGGAAGTACTGTGAGGAGGAGGGCGTGGTTCCCCAGGACCTGGAGGAGGAAGGTAAGCAGGCTATGGCCAGAGGTCTCAGGGGTGAGGGAGGGCAGCATGTGGGGCAGGAGCCCTGAGATGGGGTGGCCGGACTCCTGGAGAATGGAAGGGGACATGTGCCATTCTTTCTGACTGGTGAGCACGTCCTGCATTTGGGGCATTCTCCATCTTCCAAATCCTGGTTCCAGCCGTAGGAGCCCCATGAGGCCTTCCCAGCCTCCTTTGCAGCTGGGGTGCAGGCATTCAGCTAGCCACATGCCCTCGTGTCAGACTTTGTATCTGAAGCAGGCACCAAGAGGAACCCACCCTGGGGAGGGGATGACAGCTGTATCCTATTTCCAGAGGCTGGGGGTTGAGATGCTAGTGGTATGACCAGGGCCCAGGTTAGCGGTGTTGGCAAAGAGAGGTGTCTGTGCCCAGGGGTGCCTCCACCGGGTCAACTTGGCCATGACCTTTGGTTCATTGTTCCTGGGGGTTTCTCTGGTCCTCCCGGAGACGCTGTGAGCTACTGAATATTTTTTTTTTTTTAAGATTTTATTTATTTATTTGAGACAGAGAGAATGAGAGACAGAGAGCATGAGAGGGAAGAGGGTCAGAGGGAGAAGCAGACTCCCCGCCGAGTAGGGAGCCCGATGCGGGACTCGATCCCAGGACTCCAGGATCATGGCCTGAGCCGAAGGCAGTCGCTTAACCAACTGAGCCACCCAGGCGCCCCTGAATATTTTTAATAAATTATTTTTCAGCCTAAACTAGCTAGGGTGGGTTTGTCTTACTTTCACTTAAGAACTCTAGAGTTGAGGGGCGCCTGGGTGGCTCAGTCGTTAAGCGTCTGCCTTCGGCTCAGGTCATGATCCCAGGGTCCTGGGTTCAAGCCCCGCGTCGGGCTCCCTGCTCAGCAGGGAGCCTGCTTCTCCCTCTCCCTCTGCCTGCTGCTCTGCCTGCTTGTGCTCTCTCCCTACCTGTTAAATAAATAAATAAAAATCTTAAAAAAAAAAATAAAAAAGAACTCTAGAGTTGAAACTGCAGAAGCCCAACTGCGAGGCCAGATGTGCGTGTCTCCTAGAAAGGCGAGACCAGGTAGAGGTGAGACTGTGGCGTGGGACAGCCCGAACATGCAGGGCTGGGGAGGGGAGACCTGCAAGTGATAAACAAGGTCCTGTGAGGGGTCAGGGAGAATGAGTCCTTAAGATATTTTTACCTGAGCAGGTGGAGCCTGAGGCCAATCAAACTCTGTGGTTGGGTTAAAGCGAAGGTCAGGGACCCACCCTCTCTCTCCCTAAAACAAAGAGAAGAGTCCTTTTTTCTTTTTTACTGTTTTGCTGTACATGAAGAGTGCCCTCGCTCGGTTATATTCTCTAAGGACTCAGTAAAGATCTAAATTTCTTCCAACTGAAATGTCCTTAAGTCAACAGGGTGCAGACGGGCAACACCCGTCCTGTTGTAACCTCAGAGAGAAGGGGAGTGAGTCCGTGGGGGAAAATGGAGGTGAGACCAAGCTTGGTGTGTAGTAGGTCTCTGTGTTTTTTTCTGGAGGCCAGAACACTAGTTTCCCTCAGATTTTCCAAGGGTTAGGGTGGGGGCTGACGGCTGATGGGTCTCTAGGGTGAAGAGCACAAGCTGGTAGCACCCTGCCCCTGCCTGCCCCTGGCACGCCTCTGTCCCACACACCCTGCCCTTCCCTCTTCCAGAGCCTTTACTCATAGCAGATTTTGCCATGTCACAGCTCTGCCTAAGACCCATGAGTGACTCCCCACGGCTCCTTGAATGAAGGAGCCAAATGCTTCTTGTTGCCTTGTAAGGTCAGGCCCCTATCTGCTTCTCCCGCCCCAGCCCCTCCATTTTCCCGCACGGACTCACACTCACCTTCTCTCTGAGGTTACAACAGGACGGGTGTTGCCCCTCTGCACGCTGTTGACTTAAGGACATTTCAGTTGGAAGAAATTTAGATCTTTACTGAGTCCTTAGAGAATATAACCGAGGGAGGGCGCTCTTCATGTATAGCAAAACACAGTAAAAAAGAAGAAAGGACTCTTCTCTACGTATGTAATACTTTAAAAAAATTTAACCCACCCCCCATCCATTTTACTCAGCTCTGCAAGGGGCAATACTCTCTTCACAGATGGTGGAAGCACATTCTCCTTCCCTAGACACCAGCCCTCTCCCCTCCAGCTGGGCCTGATTCTGCAGATTACCAGAGCTTCTTTAGCTACCTTTAAACTTGATCCATCAGCCCCCTGCCCAGATTCTAGAAGGAGCACCTGGAGAGAGCTCGGGAAGTGTCCCAGGATTCGGGAAGCCTGGGGAAGGTGGGGGTGGGGCGCAGGGTGGTTACAAACACTTATGTTACATGGCTTCTTTCATCCCTTTCTAGCCCCAAACGGGCTCCTTTTCTAGAGGCTGCACACCTGCCATTCTTCTGCTGCAACACTCCGGCCCCTTTCCTCCCTTTTCCTTCAGGCCACAGCTTATATGACCCCTCAGCAGGGGTCCCAGACCAGGGCCATCTGTCTCTCCCCACAACACATTCTCTCTTGGGGCTCCCACCATCATTAAATCTAGAGGTTTACTTCAGAGCTAGACTACAGACTCCCACTTGACCGGAAGCACTCTAAATGGGTAGCGACTGCATCTGTTCAGTTCAGGGCCCAATTCCAAGTGCCCAGCCCACAGCCTGGCACCTAGCCAGCTCTTAATAAATATTTGTTGTCGCTACATATTCAAATCTCCCTTGAAGCCTGCCTCTCTGTGAGCACCTACTACATGCTAGGCATTGGCGTGGGCACTGGAAATACTGCACAGAATGGCAGAAAAAAATCCCTGCCCGCTGGAGCCTTACATTCTACAAAGAGAGACAACAAATAAGAATTAAAAAAGAAAAAAAAAAGCTTGCGTCTCTGCAAACATCTCTGGTGTCTCTCTTCTGAAAGGCCATAGCTTGTTCCTTTACTGCCCCGTGGACACCAACCCCTAGGCCTAGACTGAGCAGTGTCCTGAGGCCCTTTCCCTGTTTATCTGCGAACAACTCCCTTCCCTAAACGCAGATGGACTACCAAGGACTCTTCTCTGGGCACCTGTGACTGACTGTGCCCTTACCGTACTGGGTCCTTTCCTCCATTTACCTTCCTGAGTGTGTGTGTGGGGGAGGCACCTATTCCCCCCCTACCTCTGCGCTCCACCCTCTCATTCCCCCACCCCGCATCTCCCTGGACGGATGTAATATGGCTCAACTTAGGTTTCCCTCTTCAGCTCAGAGCCAGAGAGCCAGATATCTGCTATTCCCGTGGCTTCCTCTTTCCTTTCACTGACTGGTAAGCCGAGAGATGATGGAAAACCGGCCAGGCCTTTTACCTCCCCCTTGGGAGAGACCAGGCACTGCTGCTAACGGATGTGTCACCATCCCACATCCTTCCTTGATGGGCGTGGAGGGCCCCGAGATCACCCTCCCCACCTTTACCAACGGAAAAATTTGAGACTCAGGCAGGGATGGATGCTGGGCCTTGGGCCAAGGCCATCTAATCGTATTATACACAGGACTAGAGCCCTCATCCCCTCACCCCCACCCGGTCGGCTACAGGGACCACAGCAGTCGTTCTACGGGAAAGGGCGGCCCCTGGTGGTGAGGAGAAGCGTGGCTGCCTGCCCTCAGGTGCAGGACAGGCCGACAGGAAGGGGCGTGGCCTGCAGGACCACCGACAAAGGTTTACCACCTGCTGTTGATGCAAGGCCCTTGCTTTGAAAACGGGCAGAAATTTGTGAAGTCCTATACAAATGAAAGATTTTAAAAATATGTACAAATAAGATGGAAGGTGTTATTAAAACGAGTACTGGGTGTTATACGCAAACAATGAATCATGGAACACTACATCAAAAACTAATGATGTGATGCATGGTGATTAACATAAAATAAAAAAACGAGTGTTTATGATTTTTTAAAAAAGATTTTATTTATTTATTTGACGGAGAGAGACACACAGCGAGAGAAGAAACACAAGCAGGGGGAGTGGGAGAGGGAGAAGCAGGCTTCCCACAGAGCAGGGAGCCGGATGCGGGGCTCGATCCCAGGACCCCGGGATCATGACCTGAGCGGAAGGCAGACGCTTAACGACTGAGCCACCCAGGCGCCCCTGTTTATGATTTTTTTTTTAAGATTTTATTTTTAAGTCATCTCTACACCCAACGCTGGGCTGGAACCTACAACCGCGAGATCAAGATCACATGCTCTACTAACTGAGCCAGCCAGGTGCCCCTCTGTTTTGATTTTAAATGATGGTTTTAACAAACTTTTATTTAAAACATTCACCTGGGTGGCTCAGTCGGTTAAGCGTCTGCCTTCGGCTCAGGTCATGATCCCGGGGTCCTGGGGTCGAGCCCCGCATCGGACTCCCTGCTCCGTGGGAAGCCTGCTTCTCCCTCTCCCACTCCCCCTGCTTGTGTTCCCTCTCTCGCTGTGTCTCTGTCAAATAAATAAAATCTTTAAAAAAAAAAAAAATAAAACATTCATGTGCCAAGGATAACTCCATCAAAATGAGAATCTTGCAGTTGCACTGGGATGTGTAACCAGTGTGGGCACAGGGACTGTCCTGTATACAATATGTATGGTCCCGAGTCTCTCCCATGGCCCTGAAGGGGAAAGAGCCCAACTTTTGGTGCACCTTACCCTTAGCCATGTTCCCCGTAATGACCTAATTAACACTGCCTTGTGACTTTACCTGCATCCTGTCAGCTGGATCTTCAGGAAGCAGGGATAGGCATTAAATGGCTCTTGGCATTTCCCAGGCAAGTGACACAGGCTCTAATTGATTCAAGAGTCTGGTGCTCAGCCCTGGAATGCAGAAGTCGCTGTTACAGGAGAGAATGGGCTCTTATTTAAGATTCCAGGGCCTGGGGCAAGGCTGTCTCCAAGTTTCTATGGTATCTATCTCTCGTCTTGGGGCAGAGGACTAGTCAACAAAAGACCGGTTGTCTCAACAAAAGTACTTGGAAAACCAAGCCTTTGAGAACTTCCCAGACAGAAATGGGTATGCTTAAAGACCACCTGACTAGTTAATATGACCCCCACTCCTGCTACCAAGGGAACGTAGGCGACCTACTTTGAATATCATTTCTGAAGTTGTTTCTAATTGTTCCAAAAATAAATGGAATATTTCTAGGAAATACTGGTCTCGAGCTAACTACAGAAGAATAAAATCTCACTGACATTACAGGGTCATGACTATACCTTCATAAACTAGGTATTTTCCTATCAACCTTGATGATCAGGGACACAGCAGTACATGATCAGATCAGAAAGTGTAGAAGCTGAAAATAGGGTTGGAGACAGGAAGTCCAATATGTTGCTGGCCACTGTGGTGTCACTGCTCCCGATACAGGTGTAACCTGAATCCCCACTTGGGAGCCAGAAACCAGCTGAGAAGAGGCCTCTGGAGAGAGACTGTCCTGGTCCTGGAGGGTGGATGAAGTGCGGCCTCCGCACAGCTCATCCCACTCAGCAGACTGGACTGAGTTCCTGACTTGTGCTGAAGGGCCTGGGTAAGTCTCTCCTGTAACGCCTCAGAGGATCCTTGGGTAACCTGAAAGTTAGGACAAGAGTCTGGCGCTTGACCCTGAACTGTGAGCAGAGAGAGCGCATACTAAATGAGAATGCCCTGCTTCTAACTTCCTGGCAGCCTCTCAGCTTTATCAGGGTCTGTCATGTAAAGCTGATGCCTGGGCGCAGGGCACTGAAAGCGGTTCGACACCGCGGCCCGAACGGGGACACATATCCCAGGAGCCGGAGAACCCAGGCCTTCCCCGAGCCTCTCCAGGAGACCTGCAGGCCATACAAAGACCCTAACAGGCTCAGTCCCGCCTCAGGGTCCAGGCTGCTCCCCACCTCTTGGGAAAGGGAGTTCGCTCCAGGCGCAGGAGGAGCAGTCAGGGAGACGCACTCTGCATCCCTCTACCGCGGAGGGGCCAAGCCCCCACCCACCATCCCCTTTCCCCAGCAGCCCAGGCTCGCGGGAAGGGCGGGCCAGGGCTCCGGTCAGCGGAGAGGCAGGGCTCGGACCCGCGGCCCTACGGCCGAGCAGTGTGTGCAGGGGCGAGGAGCCCGGCTGGCGGGGAGAGAAGACCCTCTTCTCTGTAGCAGGGAAGCCCCCATTCCGCGATGCGGATCCCACCGCGCCGGTCACTCTTCCGGTCCTGAGCGGCCGCGTCCCTGAGGCCCCGCCCCGCAGCCCACTGCATGCTGGGATTTGTAGTTCCTGGGGGGGGGCTAGCACGGCTTGGCGTGGGTGGGTCTGTGTGTCCCGAGGTCAGCTGTGGCGTCGCGGTCCTCGTGACCTCATGCCCGCGGGCCCACTGGATCTGGGGTTGGCATTGAGGTCGCAGGCCTCAGCTCCCGAGGCCCCGCCCCGTGGCCCAGTCCTACCGGGACTTGTAGTTCGGGCTGGGCTTCGGTCCTGGTTAGGGCCGGGGGTGGGAGGGGGGTAGGGGGGTAGGTGTCGTAGTGCCATCCTATTCCTCTTTGGCCTGGATCTGGACAGTGGACTTGGCCCGGGACTCGCAGCTCCGGCCAGGCTCCCTGTGGACCTTTTTGCAGCCGGCCCACCGCCTCAGCGGCACCTGCAAGACCAGCCTCTAGATGGGCAAACTGAGGCAGAAAGAACTGCTTGCTCAGGCTGCGGTCTGCCCTGGTGTCAGGCCGAGTCAGGCCCGAGTGTGAACGTGGGAGAGGAAAAGCCAGAATGAGGGCTTGGCCTGGGAAGCCCAGCCCAGGCCTGTGGGCCATGGTGGGCAAGGGGAGGGTCCAGGGCCCTTTCAGTTCTTAAGAATCTGTGATCAATGCTGTCTCAAAATGATGAACAAGCTCGCCCAGGACTGGCTGAGCACATTAGAGCTGACCACCCCATAGGGTTGACAGATAAGATTTTATTTGCCAAATTTGGCAACCCTACAGACCCACCCTCAGGGAGGAAGGAAGTTTCTCCTGAGGAAGAAAACCAAGAAATGGGGCAATCCTAGTCCACAGGTTTGCTTTGAGGATTACATAAACAGGGTTTGGGGGGTGGGTTGTTTTTTTTAATTGAAGTATAGGTGACATACAATATTATATTAGTCTCAGGTGTACAACATAGTGACAATTACATATATTAGGGAACACCACCATAAGTATCGTTATCATTAAGTATAGTTACCATCTGGGGGTGGGAGTGTTTTGTAAACTGTAAAGTCCAGGGCATGGGTGAGGAGTTACCATCGTCAGAATTTGAACTTGAGACACTGGAGAAAAGGCTCTGGGCCTTCAGGACCCTCACTTTAAAAGGGAACGTACACTTACTATAGTTATCTTAGATGTGTCCATCAGGAGAAGCTGGGTGGTAGAGACATGGGACCTGTCTATAATATTTTTTTTAAGTGGGGTGCAAATGAATCAAGGATGGTCTTACTGCTCAAAGGTTACAAAGCCCTTTGGGTGTTTGTTCGTTGACTGCTTTATTGAGTGTACAATCCACAGACTTCTGCAACTATTACCACAATCTAATTTTATTTTTTATATTTTTAAGATTTTATTTATTTATTTGACAGAGAGAGACAAAGCGAGAGAGGGAACACAAGCAGGGGGAGTGGGAGAGGGAGAAGCAGGCTTCCCGCCCAGCAGGGAGCACGATGCAGGGCTCGATAGATGCTTAAGGACTGAGCCACCCAGGTGCCCCTACCACAATCTAGTTTTAGAACATTTTCATCACCACAAAAGGAAACTCCTACGTATTAGCAGCCACCCCCTAAACCACACCCCCTTATCTCCTCCAGTCCTAAGCAACCATTAATCTACTATTTATTTCTACCGATTTGCCTGTTCTGGACATCTCATGGAATCATATAATACATGGTCTTTTGTGATGGGATTCTTTCACTTAGTATAATGTTTTAAAAATTCATCCAGGTTGTAGCATGTGTCAGTACTCTATACTGTTTTTTGCAACTTCTTGTGAATCTACAATTATTGTGAAATACAACTTCTTTTCTTTAAAGCCAAGTATCTGGAGGGTGAACAGAGGTAACTTGTTGCAAGTGAAAGGACTCCCAGCTGGGACTAGCATTTGATGCTGAGAGTAGGGTGGGCCCTGGGAAAGGAGGGAGGAGCAGGGCCTGGTGGGGAGGAGGGGGCGCCTGACTCAGCCCAGCCCTGCCTCAGGAGGCTGTGTGCTGTGACTGTTGGGAGGTCCCCCCGCCGCCAGGCTCCCAATCCACCCTCTGCCACTCACTAAAGGGATCATGGAGCAAGTTTTTGTTTGTTTGTTTGTTTGGTTTAGTTTGGTTTGACTTCATTTGGTCTCCATTTCCTCATCTGTAAAAGGGGGATAATGAAATGATTTACTTTAGAAAATAAATGGGAGGACTGAAGGAGAAAATCATAAAAAGGACAGCACATGGCATATAGTGCCAGCCCTTAAGATTGTTAGCTCTTATGATGAGCTTACAGCGGTGTTGAGGATCCAGTGTGACCCTGGCTTTGAGGGGATAAACCAGCCCTTCCTCCTGCCCCGATCACCCAGTGCCCTTCTTGTCACCATAGTGCTCCCCTGAAGCTCCTACTGGCCCACTCATTCTTGCCGTACTGGACGAATCCCACTTTCCCAGAGGTTGCCAAGAAACTCCAGCATGTCTGCCCAGAATGTCTCTGAGGACCCAACAGCTTTATTCAGAAAATATGGCAGTCCAGACCCCTGGCCATTCCTCAGAGCTGGTTGAAAAGATCTAGAAAAATTCATTACGGATCAAATTTAAAGGCTAGATGCATTCTGAGTCAGTGCCTTCAAAGGAATATTTTGGGGAATTTTGATTTTGGAATTTTTAAGTGTTGCAACAGATCCCTGCCAGCTTCCCAGGCTGAGGAAATACAACAGCTCAGCCTGAGCCGTGCCTCTGGATTGGAGTCAGAGGACCCAGAAGGGACTCCTTGTCTGCTGTCTGCATTTTACAGATTGGAAACAGACTCAGAGAGAACCATATGGCAGGGTAGTTAGAAGCCAGGTTGGGAACTCAATTAGGGAGAATCCTTTGCAATTTCAAGAAATCCTTAGCCCTGGAAATCAATTCATAAGCCTGGGTCCATGGACACAGAAGCAGAGAGCTGGCCATCTTGGATGGCTCCAGACCTTGGCCAGAGCCCAAGCAGCCACACCCAGAAGTCAGTGTCGGATGCCTCTCTCTCCTGTTGTTTTTTTTTTCCCCAGACAGACGTTTGTCTTAGAAGTGGTTTATTAATAATAATGGTAATAGCACCTTGCATGTGTCCAGGCCTTTATTTTTTTCAGAGTTTCCCACGGGTCATCTCATTGGATGCCCACAATTCCCCAAGGTAGGATGACTGGGTTATTGTCCTCCCTTCACAGGTGAGGAACCTGTGGCTCAAAAGGTTTAAGTGACTTTCCCAAGGTGACAAAGTACCTTGGGGACGCACTAGAATGTGGGGATTTTGCTCTCTAATCTGCTAATCAGAGTAAAAATCTAGTTTAAAAAAATGTTTTTTGAGTGTCTGTTACCTGCTAGGTGCTCTGCTGGGTGCTGGCGTCTGTGGGGAGCAGGTATTTCTTGTTCTCTTCAAGGTCCTTCCAGCTGGACTAAGAATCAAGTTGATGTGAGACAGATTAACAGGAGAAAATCAAATTTAATAGCGTACATATGGGAACCCACATAGATGTGGAAATTCCAGAGACAGTCAGGCAAAATGAGATCCAGTTGTCATTCTGAATTAAGGAGAAGGGGGTAGGGTTCTGGGACTTCAAAGGGAAAGAATGCAACTCACAGGAGGATGAACAAGAGTAAATGTTTGGTCGACAAATGTTTTCTAGGCCACTCAGAAACAATGGGACAGAGAGGACTTTGATCAGATGGGCCTGGGGTAGGTTCCTTCCAGGCTACCATACCTGGTTCATAGTATAATGTAGCTGTTGATGGTGATAGCTGTCTTCCTGGAGCAGCTCCTCTACTTAAATTCTTTTAGGCATTTGGTAGGGGAAGGGGGTAAAGAGCTTTTCCTGAATTTGCTGGGTTTTGGTTGCTTTTTAACTCAATATGACCTTCATGCCAAGGTGGCCCATCTTGGCATGGCCTGCCCTTGGACTCTTCATTTCACAAGGATAACCTGATGTAGCTCCTGGCTGGAGGAGCCAAAAGTGTGGTGGGAGAGGCACACGTGTAGCAGATGATAAAAAGTGATGACAAGGGAACTTTCCAGGGGGGTGGACGTGTTTTATATCTTGGTAGGATATAAGTTTACATGGGTGTTTGCAAATGCCAAAACTCATTATGCTTATGCTTTGTGCATTTCACTGTAAATTTTACCTAAAAATGTAGAAAATGGGAATGCTCTGGGAAGACTATGTCTAGCCGGGCGTTGGAGGGCACAACTGTTGGGAAGTGGGCCAGAGAGGCAAACTAGGTTACCCACGGGTACAATTCCACCTTCCTTTGTGGGGTGTGGTTGAAAAGTTTTCCCATGGAGGCTGTAGACCCAGATGGCCTAGTAGCCTTGATGCCCAGAG